GTGCCTGGTGACAGGTGCAGACAAGAACCAAGGAGACACCACATGTACCCCACAGGAAGGGTCTGTCCCCCAGCCCGAGGCCGAGTCCACCTCGACTCACTGACACCACTGAAGACCGCTGGCTGCTGTCCCTGTGCCGCTCCGTCCCCGTAAAGAGTCCCCAGTTCAGGGCCTGGGCATGTAGCACATCAAACCCAGATTAATAAACCACTGGAATAATTTGAGAGGAGAAAAAAAACTAATGGGATTTATTTTTAATTAGTCCCGGAACTTTTGTGCCTCCAAGTTTTCACAAGCGAGGTTGCTTATTACATTTCTCTACAACGGTCATCCCTGACACAACAGTCCTTCTTGGGAAACACAGAGGTGGGCCCATGAGAGAACCCACCTCGGAGGCCAGCCACCAACACAGGAGGCCTGGGACCCAGTGGGAGCATCGGTGGGGAGCACGCGCCCTGCCAGCCCTTCAGGGACTGATGGGCACCTACCTGTTCCCCGTACACATAACAGATGCACGCACAGGACCCTCGAGTGTCCTCCCGCACTCAGCTCCCCAAGGTGGGGCTGCAGGAGTGGGGAGTGAGGGAAAGAACAGAGGGCAATGGTGGGTGGCAGGTCAGGAAATGATTGTTGGGCCTTGCAGGAGGCGTTGGGGACGTCCCTGCCTCCCCTGGCATGTCATGACTAAGGATTTGCTGACGCAGCTCCTTTCCCAGCCTGCACTGGCTGGCTCTGAATTCAAATAATCAACATTGTGCTCTAGAAGAGAAACCGCACACGCCCCATGAATGAATCTGTGATGTTTCAAAGAGGGGAGAAGTTCAGCCTCGCCTGGGTTGGCCAGTGATCAACACCTTCCCTGTCAGGAGCCAGAAGGAACAGCCTCTAGGATCTGACCGGCTTTGGGGGCTCTGTGGTCCTGTAGCCCCCTCCCCTCCACCCCTCGCAGACCGGGTCGAAGCTCAGTGGGCAATGGGAAGGTCCCAGCTACCTGCGGCCCCTCCCAGCCCCTAGGTGTTCAGAGAAACCTTCCCAGTGCATCTACTCAGCATCTCCCTGATAAACAGGTGTTGGGAGAAAAAGAGCAGTAATCGAGTTAATGTAGCAGAGAAAAAGAGGAAAGCGGTTTTTATCAGTCAATGTTATAGGATCGTGAATCCTAATAAAGATGGAGTATGACGGAAAAACAGAGAGAATGGGCCACCTAATATCCTGCCCTATTCAGATATGTTTATTGCCCACTGGATTTTTCAATGTGCTCATCTGCGTCCACTATAGAAAAACTTCAAAAAGCAGCATTTTGGAAAACGTGCATTTTGTCTCATAGACCACTGTCCTGTTGCCATGCCATCTGGAAATACAAAATCCAAAGGAGCGTGGGAACGGCAGTATGAGGCATCACAAGGATTTGAGCCCCATGTTAAATTGTTTATTAACAAATAACTTGATTTTGATTTTTAATTACTTGTGTGACCTACACTTTTACATTGTCATAATGGATGTTTACTTGGGTGAGTTACAACACGTAACACTTTCTGTTCTATTCAAATGCACAAGTGTGAGCATTTTCCAACTTCTTTGTTCTTAGATAAAAAAGAAATTGATCTTTATCTGGTTACAGTTCTGCCTTATAAACACCGCAAATACTGTTTCGGGGGGGGGGGTTGTGATGTTTCCATGGCGTCTTTCATTTTCCCCCTTATTCTGAGAAGTTTCCAGAAGGCGTTTTTCTGTGGCCCTATCTTGCCTCTCACTGTGTCTCCAACACAGTGACTACTGGGCACAAGCTATCGGGGAGAAATTTGGAAAAAAATCATCTTTCCCGACCTTTAAAACTGTGAAAAGCGGGATCCATTTGCTTCCACCTCATTTTATCAGGCCTTTTGTCAGTTTTGCTCTTACATTTCCCAGGAAATACTCTGTGGAGTTTCTGCTCTTACCTACAGGTCAGGCGACGGGGGTCAGGGCCTGCAGGCCCAGCTAAGCAGCTTTCGGCAGGTGCCACCTCTTTCTTTTCTGCCCGCCCACCCTGGTAAGGTGAGCCACCACCCACCTGCGAAGCCTGGCCCGGATTCTGCATCATTGTAAAATAAAAGTTTAATATCACAAGACGCCCCTGATCTTGGCTGCCCATTCCAGGGGATCAACCTGATGGTGGGTGCCTTGTGGTATGCTTCTGATGTCCCGCCTGGCACTCTACTGGTCCCCTACCACCCCAGGGCACCCCAGCTCCAACCTGGGGGGGAAATGGACACAGCATGGTCTGAGAAAGCCCGATGTTCAAGCTGACTGCCCCAAGCCTGATCATTTTTACTAATTCATTCATTCATTCGTTCAGCAAGTCCTCTCTGAGCTCGTACCGTGAGCCAGGCTCTGTTCTGGGTGCTGAGGCTCAGCTGGACAATCTGCCACACGCCTGTGTGCTCAGGGAGCTTACATCCCCCTGTGTGGGGACTGACAAGAACAAAATACAAATACGTGGCACGTCGGAGGGGTGGATACAAACGAAGCAGGGAATGGAAGGGGAGGAGGAAGCGCTGGTGGGGGACAGAGGTGCATCGTTCAACAGGAGGGAAAGGAGACCTTGTAAGCAGGGGACATGAGTGCCCAAAGCCTGCAGGTGAGGGAACAAGCCAAGCAGGTGTCTATCTGGCAGAGAAGCACAAAGTGCAGAGAGTGAAGACTCTGAGGAAGGAGCTCAGGGAGCCCTCACCGAACTCCCAGGGTCTCCCACCTGCACCCAGAAATCGATCACTTGGGGTTCCACTGCTCCGCTATGGCTTCTCATGGGTGTGTGTGTGCTGCCCTTCCTAGAGGACCACGGGCTTCTTGGAAAAGACACCACGCTCCCCACCGGGCTGTCCCCTCTCTGCCACCTTGCGCAGTCCAGGGATGAAAGGAGGAAGGTCACGGTTACTCTTGCCTTTGTTCCTTCATGCAACCTTTCAGTGCATGCATTGCGCCCCTGTGACAGTGAGGTGCTCCTGCAGGCCCTGGGGTTACTGCAGTTCAAACAACTGGCAATGCTGCTGAACTCACAAACCTCAGACTCCGTTGGTGGGAGATGAACAGAACACACAACCCCACGGAACGGGAGTTTCCGCAAGTGTTATGTTTATGAAGAAATAAACCAGGGGCTGGGAGGGATATTTAGATGGGGGGGGGGGTGTCAGGGATGGGCCTCCTGAAGAGATCACGTGCAGGAAGAACACTCCAGGCAGAGGGAACAGCAGGTGCAAAGGTCCTGCTGCAGAAACAGTCTGCGTTCAGGAAGAGCGAGGAGGCAGGTGGGGTTTGAGAGAGGTGATCGGGATGAAGAATGGCATGAGGCGGGGTCAGACCACATGGGGCCTTCTGCGAGAGCGATGCAGCCTGGTCTGTACTCTTAAGGGACCCCTCCTTGGCTGGGAAAACCCATGATGCGGGGAGTCCTCTAGGGCAGGGAGAGAAATGCTCCACTGCACCCCAGGCTGTCAGTAAAGACGGCAGGTGAGGCCTCCTGCCACCTGTGCTCAGGGCTCCTCTGGGCGTCCAGGAGATTTGTGGGTTGCAGATGAGGAGCCAGGTGTGGGCTCCTCGTCCTTAACCACGCAGTGCGCGTAGGGCTTGTATGCACTAAATACGCCTGCGCAAGCCTGGGCTTTATTGATTCCTTGGGAGGTAGACGACAATTATTTTTGAAAATAGATGGCATGTTTGTCTATCCTCTGAAGCAGCTCATACCCCAATAGATAAAGTGTCAGGAGAAAAATCAAAGAAAATGGAGGTGTCCATATCGCCAATAGATTTTTTTTTTTTTTTGTATTGGCAGCGTGCAAACAAAGAGCAGAAAAGCTAAAAAGGACCACGGCCAAGGAAGAGAGGGACCAAGGGAGTCCTTCCCTGGGAGGGGCCGGGAGGAGGCTGAAGCAGGAGAGGTGACCAGCGTGGCCCAGCACCCGTGTCCCCTGGTTTGGGTAAGAGCACCTCCATTTTTTTCGGGAGGAGAGTCAGGGGAGAATCGCCCCCACTTGGCTCCACGGAGGTGGAAAGGGCTGACTCCACCTGTCTGGTTCCAGGTATGGCAGGCAAGCCAGGCTGGACCAAAAGCCAGTCCGCCTGAACTCCTAGGGGAGCTGCTGAATTCCGCTTTATATGTAGGATAGTGTGGTCGGGGTTCCTGTCACCCAGGCACCTGAAAGACTCCTGGTTAGCACAAGGCTGAGGGGAGGGGTTATGTCAATACAGTAGAAGGAAGCCTAAAGATGAACCATTTAGGAGAGGGCCAGGAGGCAGGTGGGGTGAGATCACACGGGGCCTGCTGGAAGAGCAATACAACCCGGTTTATAGTTTGCGAAGAGCCCTCTTTGGCCTGGGATGATTCCGTGACAGGAAGAGCTCCAGCAGGGAGGCCAAGCATCACCGTCACGGACATGAATCACGTGGGCTCTACACCTGTATGTCTGGGTGTAACTTGGGAGAGAAATCCCTACATAATGAATCTGCAGATTAGGATCAGTTCTGACCTACACAGCGGCGCACAGACAGGCCCGCTGAGAACTCAGTAGGCCACTGGCAGCTCAGCGGTAGAATTCTCACCTTCCACGTGGGAGACACAGGTCCCACTCCCGGCCAACGCACCTCATGCACAGCCACCACTCCGTGTCAGTGGAGGCTTGCGTGTTGCTATGATGCTGAACAAGTTTCAGCAGAGCTTCTAGACTAAGACAGAGCAGGAAGAAAGGCCTGGCAATCTACTTCTGAAAGTCAGTCAGTGAAAACTCTAGGGATCACAAGTGTCCGAATAGCAATCGATCACGGGGATGGTGCAGGACCGGGCATTGATTAGTTCTTTTGTGCGTGGGGTCACCATGAGTCAGGGGACAACTCGACGGCAGCACAAGGACACGGAGAACTTGACATGTTTAGCGACAGTGCAGGTGCAGACCCGGGATAGGGCCACGGCAGAACGCAGAGCCCACCGCTCTGAGCAGCGTCCCCAGCCGCACTCAGTCTCTCACCTGTGTGTATCCTCAGGTGGACCTTTAGGTGATGAGACGTCCGGAAGGTTTTCCCGCAGTACGGGCAGTCCTTCATGGCCGAGCCCAGGCTCCTGTCGCGAAGCAGCGCGGGCTGCTGGACACCGGTGGCTCTCCCAGCCTCCTCGCCAACGTCTGCAGCGGAGGAGAAACGTTCTCACATCACTTCAGCACGTGTCAGAGTTGTTCGCACCAAACTGCTAACACCACGTACAGTGAAACACGTCAGTACCACACCTGCCTATGTCACTCTTTACATCGGACAGGAGGCTGACAGTTGGTGTGTTTGCTCGTTATTCTCTTAAATTATCGCATCTTTTTCTATCATCATTTCAAGCAGCATACGGTACCTTTATACTGAACGGAATTAAACACAAAAGAAACAGCTGTGTCAGCAGCTGGCTTGATTTCTTCTTTTGCTTAGCTCCTATTAAATATTTTTTTCCGAAAGTTTAAAAATGTTGGTGTTTGTTGAATCTGATTAATTTATAATAGAGACTAGCTGGAGAGTTCACTACAGGATCGAAATCGCATTTGCATTATATCAAGCGACAAACGAAGAATACGTGTCTCAGCTGACTCCCCAAGACAGGCAGACATACAGCTATTTTGGGACAGGAAAGACAATTATCCCACACTGATCATTTCTCCCTGGTAGAATCTTGTATCCGTCGCTGGCTGGTGTAATCTCATGAAAGAGAGAAGAAAAAGTATGGAAATGTGGTGCCACAATTAGACCATGATAAACATACAGCAACACAGTCAAAGTCATGTGCAGAAACTCAGCTGCAAAACTCCCCTAAACTTGGAGCACTGCTGTTAAATCCTTGTGCAGCGACTTGAGAACTTCCTCGGTAAAGTATCAATACAAATTTTCCTGCCTGCTGTTATTTGTTATGTAACCCAAACTATTAGAAAATGGAATAAAATTTACATACGGCTGCCTTCTGCACAGAAATGATGAGACATACTAGTAAACGAAGCTGTGACAATACCAGGCGGCTGGAGGCTATGTTGCAGCCGTACCCGAGGACTGACGTCACCCTGCGAAGGCGGGCACAACACCAGGGCAGGGGCTGCAGCCTGCGGCTCAGAGCCGGGAGGCGAGGGGGACTCCTCCTCCGGACTCACTCTTTTTCCCACCTTCCAGGCCTCCCCACAGAGCTGGGAGCTGGTGGCCTGGCAGAGAATCCAAGCTCCTGAGGGCAGTGGGGTCCTCGTTGAACCTTACAGCCCCATCTCTATGCCTCGTGGTAAATCCCTCTCTGAGAACAAGGGGACCTTCTGGGATAACGAGCAGATCTGTGAGTTTTGCCGAGATTAAAATGAGTAAGATTTGTACCTCTCAAGCAATGGAAAATGCAAACTGCTTTTATTCGGTAACATTCATTCCTCGTGCTCTCTGCCAGGAGTGAAAAGGGACAGACTTACAGACCAGGAACAAGAGGAAGGTAGGCCCATTTCATTCCTGTTTGGATGTTTGCTCTAAACAAGTTTGGAAATCCTTTGGCTTGGAGCATCCTCTCCGCCTTTGAACTCAGCACCAGGCGTGGTCGAGTCCATTCCCCCTCACGGCCACCCCATGTGCGTCAGCAGAACTGTGCTCCGTAGGGTTTCCAATGACTGACTTTTCAGTAGATCACCCAGGCCCTTCTTCCAAGGCACCTCTGGGTGGACTCGAACCGCCGAACGTTCTTTTAGTGGTGGAGTGTGTTAACCATTTACGCCACCTAAGGCCTTCACTTTTGGACTACGTATAATAGTATGTCAGCCTGGCAAAGTTCTTGGAAAGCTCACTTTCAATCCTCTTCTACCCATCACAAGAAGAACTGTTCAAAGGATCTAATGGCCCAGCACTTTTTTCCTCATAATTTTGCAGAGGTAGGAGGACTGGAGCCTTGGTGGCGCAGTGGTTCAGCATTCGGCTGCTGACCAGAAGGTCGGCAGTTCAAATCCACCAGCCACTCCTTGGAAACCCTATGAGGCAGTTCTACTCTGTCCTATAGGGTCTCTATGAGTCGGAATCCACTCTACGGCAACAGGTTTGGTTTTTTGGTTTAGGAGGAGTGGGTTCATCCACATCTGGGACTCAACATCAGTCACCTCACACTACTCTCTAAATGAGTGTGTGGAAAAGCCACCAAAAATGGCTTATTTATTTATAAGGACAAGCAGGCATAAGAGATGGTTGGAATGTCACGTCAGAAAAGCAAATACTACAGATATAGTCACAGTCGGCCCTCCACACACAGGGGTTTGAGTCCACCAGGGGCTGCCATCAAGCTCTGCCTTAAAGAGGAAGTCTGCCAGCTGCCCAGAAGAGCAATGTCCTGAATGCTGATTCCAAGCTGACCACCCCTAGAGTCAAGCAACTGGGATGCCATCCCCCACCTACTCCAATCGCAAACATGTGGAATTTGCCCTCCCAGCATTACTCAGCATTCCTTTTGCTGGGACCATCAGGTCAGCTTAAAGCAACCATGAGTGTGATTAAGATTCTGCCCACGTGCTTCTTGGAATATAGTTAAAACACACTAAGTAAGGCCACCACCCGTCCGTCGGTTTGTCACACTGTGGAGACTTGTGTGTTGCTCTGATCCAAAAAGTGATGCCACCAGTATTTCAAATACCAGCAGGGCCACCTTGGTGGACAGGTGTAAGCAGAGCTTCTAGACTAAGACAGACTAGGACACAAGACACGGCAGTCTACTTCTGAAAATTAGCAGATGAAAACCTTATGGGTCCCAAGAGGACATTAGTCAACTCTCTCGCTTTGGACACGTCATCAGGAAGGATCAATTGCTAGAGGAGGACATTATGTTTGGTGAAGAAGAGGACCAACGAGGGGGTGGGAGACCCTTGGTGAGATGGACTGGCACAGTGGCCACAATGATGGACTCGAACATGATTGGGAGGGTGCCGCAGGACCAGGCAACATTTCATTTGGTTGTACGTAAGTTGTCATGAGTCAGAGTCCACTCGACAGCAGCTAATAGCAAGATTTAAGTCAGAAGCCTGTCAATTTGGAGTAGTAACAGAACCTCGGTGTCCCGGATGTTGGCCCTCAGGATACAGGTGGGCAGGTGCTGCCTTCTGCTTTTAGCTTGCCGCAGGGCCACAGGTTCTGTGATTTGCACGTGAGCACCTTCCCTGAACACTTGCTTCACTGAAGCCCACCTGTGATCAGGGCAGGCTGGTGGCTGTCAAGCAGAAGCTCCAGGAGAGATGACGGGCGGCGTATTTCTACTTTGGCTTCCGGTGTGCACGTGCCCAGGGCACATTATAGGGGATCACATAGACAAGGCTGGCACACCGCTCAGGAAGGCTGCTCAGAAGCCGAGGATGCGCGGCACCACACTCTATGCCACTCTATGTGATGGCTTGTATCTCTCTTCCTTTTATCTTTCCATCTTGGGTATGTGTGGCCCAATAAAAAGAATAAATTTGTAAGATAAACAGCTTTCTTTGCAGATTTAAGAGTCTAATTTTCATGTTACATAGAATTTTTTTTCTTTTCTTTTCTTCTTTTTTTTTTTGGAGGACCAGAAGGCCTATAGCGTTTACTCTTAGACTAATCCTGCTGGAAAAACAAACTCTGAGCAATGATGAAGGAAAACTCGTGGGTGGTCCCAGGAAGTGTCCAGAGAGGCTGAAAGCCAAGTCCAGGGCAGGCTGAGGAGGCGCGGCCCAGCTGCCAACCCTCACAGGCCCGTGTGGGTCTGTGCCTCCGCACAGAGGACCTCAGCCAGCACACGGTGGGCTCCTCTGTGAACCGAGGGACAGCAGCCCTGCAGGCCCCTGGACACTGGGACATCCCCAGGAATAGTGGCATTTGAATGCAGGCTGGGACGCTATCTCTCACCATAACACACGCTCAGCTTGGGTGTGTTATGATGGAGAAATGGCAGGGTAAGACCTCCTGTGACTTCATTTCTCTTTTGGCCTCACTAAATAACATAGAACCTTTTTTTCAAAAAGGGATATCTTGCATGGATGCAACATATAATATTTCAGAGGGACAGAGACTGTACTTGCAACCCTTCCAGAGTTCCAGCCTAGAACAAGTGAATAAAAATACGTATCAGACAACTTTACAAGCTTTCTCGTCTTCCCACAAGCTAATAATGGTTTACTAAAAAACGGTGAATGGACCCAAATCATTTTGAGTTGTCTTTCAAGAAAATTGTTTGAGGGAGTTCTGGGCAACATGGCACTATAGGCAGAAGCACCACACCATCCCTCCACAGCAAAGATCCAAGAAACTAAGCCAAACAGAGAAAACAGCAGTCCTGAAACCCTAAGCATCAAATGAAGAGATAAAGAACGCAGCCAAGCACTGAATGGAATAAGACACTGACAGAGAACAGAGAGCAAGGAGAGATACATGCACAGGTCCCCTATCAGCTAACGCAGCATCTTGGACTACTATCAGAGACCAGGAAACAGGGAGTACGAGAAAGCAGCTTCACAGAGCTTCCAGCAGGAGACAAAACAACTGGTAACCAGCGATATATGCTTTCCCAACCCCCACCCTTCTTGACCCCTACTCTGCCTCCTCTGCTTCCAGCGGCCACAGTCTCTTGGCCAGGAAACATCGGATTCCCCCCAGTGTCCCTTGGATTCCACCTGCTCTCACTGGCAGGCTCCCTAAATGCCATTTGTTGGCTGCTGGTGTTGCTTTTTTCCACTCTTTAGATTTCTTCCTTACCTCTCACAACCTCCCCCTCCTTTCTCTCAAATACCTGGCTCCATGTACCATCTTTGCTTCTTCCTGAAAGGCTGTGAAATGCCACTGCAATGTAAGACTGCTTCCTGGCCCATGCTGCCACGCTGGTGGGATCCCAGGGCTTTTTTTTTGTTTTGAATTCTTTGTTTGTTTACTTTTTCTTTTCTTGAATTGGGAGCCCATTCTAGCTCGGTAGTAGTGCGTGGCTTGGGACCTACCCCTCAGTTTGCGGAGAAGAGAAGACAGATCCCTGAGGGCATTTCTTTTCTCTTGGTTTTTTTTTTTTTTTTTTCCCTGTTTTTTTGGGGGGTTTTCTTGTTCTTTTTTTTTTTAAATTTGTTTCTTTTGTTCTTTTCTCTCTTTTTCCTTTTTATCTTTCATTACTAAGTTTCTCATCTCTCTATACTTT